TATATATATATATATATATATATATATATATATATGTAGCACGTCGTTTTACGTCATGTAATTGTATCCGGGTTGGGAAAAAAGAGAGTAAAGAAGCCGAACTGTGTTTGATGATTAAAGATAGGGTTCGTAATTAGAAGGAAACTTGCAGCTTTTCTTCTTTGAGAACATTTTATTAACGGTTTGCCAATGAACGAGGGTAATGGTGATAATAGTATTGATAAGAACAATATGAAATAAAAATAAAAACGTAATAAGAACAAGAAATTTATTCTTACTTACAACAACTGTGTGCTCTTTTAATTATTTGTTTTTTAATTTTTTAATGAAATTTTTTACAAAATTTGCAAATACTGGTTAAGGTAAATTGACAAACTCTATCGTTGTGTTAAAGCACACGATAAAATTATTGTATTACTTTGAGGTAAAAACAAAAATTTTTAGATCATTACCTGTATCTGCTATTTTTGTAGTTGTTTCTAATACTTCTGCAAATAGCTGAAAAAAAAAGTTTTTTAAAGTTAAAAATTTTGTCGATTTAAGGTTTAGACAAATGGTTATTACAGTGCGAAAACTAGAAAGAAATAACTGCCAAACTATCAAAGAGTAAAAGTTGTGTTTTGCAGTCAAGATGTTGTAATTTTTTCCTCTTTTGAAGCTTTATTTACTTGCAAGAATTAGGTCGTTTTATCTTAAAAACATTTCGTAAAGCAGAAATGTGCTTTTTTCTTTTCAGTTTGATGAATCCAGTAATCTACTGCAAGTTCAATCGTGACTTCTATGTTCCATTCCGAGAAATGCTGTGTTGTCGCTTCTGTACTTTGAAAGAGGTAATGAGACGCGAGAGTTTCACCAACAAATATGGCCCTTCCTGGTAATTTATACTCTTCCATATGTTCAATTAACTGTTTAAAACCAAACTGCTCTATACAGTATAAGTCTTTTAATGCTTTTTTAAAAAAAACATTATACTTTTTTCAGGAAACGAACGACAGCAAACGAAGAAACTTTGCAGATTTCTTCAGTCTAATCAGTCCAAAACAGAAACTCTAGAAAATTTGTTATACCTCCTTTTTTTCTTTTTTTTTCTTTTGCTACTTCTTTATTTTCAAGTATTTTATTTTTATTGTATTTGCTATGAAAAAGAATGGTGTGCTAAAATGGATAAACCTGAATGGAATTAAAAATGCACAACGGTTTTCAAACGTTGCCCAACTTTTTTTATAAGAGCTATAGCAGCAACAAAAGACTTGCAGTCTATCAAATTTAAACAGTAGCAGAAGAACAAAAAAACAATTTTTATTGAACTTGTGGGATGCATACAGACATAAATTAGTAAAAAGTAAAGCAAAGAAAGCCAAAAGAAAAAATTTGTTAATTGATGTTAACTTTTTGCTGACAAACAACAACCTTTTTGTGCTGTTCAGTCAAATATTGGCAGTGGAAAACGCCAATTGAGTCTGCTACCGTTTAAGTGCATTTATTCAATTGTCCAAAATGTTCTATATCTGAATTGCTACTTTTTTCATCACTATGCTGATACATAAGTATTTAGGTGCAGCAATATAAATATATATATATATATATATATATATATATATATAATTAAATTTAAGTTCAAATCAGAATATGAGAAAAAGAAAAAAACAAAAGTAAAAACGGGTATTTTTTTTTTTTAAAAATTTATCTTCTCTTTTGATTGATGGTTACTGTTCTGCAATTGAACAGCCAAAAAATAAACAAATAGATGGTTTCAGCTTTCACAGATGTATTCCGTCAAACATTTAAGAAAAGTTATAGCTTACTAAAGTTAAATAAATTATTTTTTTAATATACCTTCTTCTTTTTAAAATTATTAAAACTAAAAAAATTGCTGATGAAAATATGTGAATTGCAGGCTATTTCAAGTAAATAATACTGAAAAATGATTAGTTCAGATAACCAACTAGCCGACAATAGCAACGAAGAGTTAACGCAATAATAATGTCTATAAAAAATGAAGAAAAAAAATTTATTTTTTTATTTATATTTTTAGAAGTAAAGGCATGGTAAAAAAAAAAAGTGGTTTTATTGCTATTAAATAGGGCTATTTGAGATAACAGCAATTTTTTTAATCGAATAAGTAGAGAAGAGAGTGAAAAAAGTAGTCTTCTTATTATTATTATTATTATTATTATTATTATTATTATTACTGATTCCGAAAAATCTCAAAATTAATTTATTATTATTGTCTTATTATTATTATTATTATTATTATTATTATTATTATTATATTATTATTATTATTATTATTATTATTATTATTATTATATTATTATTATTATTATTATTATTATTATTATTATTATTGTTATTATTATTATTATTATTATTATTATTATTATTACTATTTATTATTATTATTATTATTGCTTCTATTATTACTATTATTTTTATTTTTATTATTATTGTCATCATCATCATTATTGTCATTATTATTATCATTATTGTTAGTGAAATAAAAACTTTTCCTTTTTTAAGAAAACATATAAATAAATAAACAGATAAATAAATAAATAGACAGATAGATAGATCGATAGATAGATAGATAAATAAGTAAATAAATAAATATGTAAATACACACACTGAAATAATTTTCTTCCTTTATTGTCTTTAATTTTTCTTTTCTTTTTTCCTTTGTTCACTCCTGAAAAAAGCACTGTTAAGCTGCGTGTCAGTGTACTTTAATGCTTTGATACAGTTGCTGCAGTAGTATACTGTACAATTACTTAACTCTAATAAATAGTTACTGTTAGATTACAAGAATGGTAGGATTGTATAACTGGTCATGACTGAATGATGATATATAGATGTTTCCTTAAGTTTTTTGCTGTTTGATCATTTTTTTCGTTTCGTTTTTTTTTTTTTTTTTGTTTTTTTTCGTTATCAATGGGTTATTTCATGTGCGTTCTGTATAAAAAAAATCTTTCCAAAATTTCTTTACTTTCTGCTACTTTTATGACGCCTAAAAGCAGTACCATGTTTTAAAGATGTGCTTCACCAATTGTTAGTTCATTGTTTTCTCCCCTGCTGATGTACACTTTCTTTCTAAATTGGCAATACCGATGCGTATCAGTAAGTTAAGTGAATTTGTGAATTTTTGCATGTGCTTGTCTATCTATTTTGACGTGTATACAATACCCGGTTTATTGGTGTTATTATGTGAGGTAGGATAAAGGAAAAAACAATGGAGGAAAAATTGAGAATTTTGGGGTATTACATTATATTTGCTGTATGTAATTTTGTTTACTTCTATACACTTCTGCATTTTATACTTTTTAATGAAAAATGATCTCTTCTCAAGTTTTTTTTCTTTTAGTTTCTTTTCACGCGTCAAATCAAAAAGAGTCAGTATGGCTTAATCCTGGCAAAATGTTGTTGCGTTTTAAAAGAACATTGTATAGAAAGCACAAAAAAAATTTTGGAAATAATTACTGTTCTAGAAAAGTAGACAATAACCTAGAGAAAAAGCCCGAATAGCTAATTTAAGTAATACCTTTAGCCTGATCAGCTCTTGTCACTTCCTCCTTCTCTCCGCTCTCCAACCGCGTTTCTCATGTTTTTAATTTGAAAGATTTATTTGTTAATCACTTATTTCCTCATGGAAAACTTCAAACGGTAAATCCTCATTTATTTTCTTTTCAGCAGTCATCTCCTTTCCAAATGCACAACAGGTGTTTCGCCTTTGAAGACAAAAAGGAGAAAATAAAAGCAAAAACAGGATAGAATTAAAAGTAAAAATTCACGTACAGTAAACGTGACATTTTTTCACGCACTTTCAATATATATTTTAATTTCCTCTCCTGCGTTCAAAAAGCCATAACGTTTGCTTATATTTGATTGTAATTTGTTTGTATTTTCATATTCTCACTTCTGTCACTAATATTACCCTTATCATTGTTACCATTATTATTACTATTACCACTATTATTATTGTTATTATTATAATTATTACTGCTGTTGTTGTTATTATTTTTATTACTTTTATTATTATTATTGTCACTATGTTTTTTGTTTACGCCAAATAACCCGTATCAACTGTCTAATAACGCATAACATTAAAAGTTCTCATATTAAACAAATAAGGAGAAAAAAGTACAACTAAAAGAATCAAGAAGCAGAAAAAATAACAATAAAGTTTGTAAAAGATGCGGCCAAACCGATTTGTTCAAGTAGAAGGAAAGCCAGTCTGTCGTTACAGAAGCTATCACTATGCGAAATAATGAATAATGAAGAATAATCATTTTTCTTTTTTAGAATTTTTCACTGTTGTTATGACTCAGGTAGGTTGTCTTCGAGTGTGCTTCACAGCATTGCTTCTATATGTTTCAAAACAAATGGCTTAACCGTCCAATTCCCCGAAGGCGCAGCAAATATGATCAAAATTTGAATGCGATACGAACAATTTATGAAATTTCGTTAATTAAATGATACTGTTCTTTTTTTTTTTTCAAACTGTTCACCCGAGAGCAGGTCAAATATGTTCAAGAACCCACCAAACCAATAAACACGACTTGTTATCTTACACCTACACTTTTTAAGCGGCATTAATTTCCTCTGAGAATGCATACTTTAAACTGCTAAGACAGCACACGCGTTTTAATCAAATCGTCTCTGTTACCATCATCGTCTTGAACATTGCCGTTATCGTTTATAGTCTCACAATACAGTTTCACCAGAAGTTATTAAGCAGCGCTCATGTAACCTGTAACTTTGGCCTGCTTTTTTTTTCTTTTTTATATTACTATGTATTTTCATCAAATAACACTAACCACCAACAAAAATGTGTTTTTACAAAATTTCAATTTACGATCTATGAGAAAAAAACGATATATATAAATATATATATGCATATATAAAATAAAATATAAATCAAATTTTCGAGTAATTACTTTCTTTTAAAATATTCTATTATACAAAAAAGTAAATAAATAAATAAATATATATATATAAATATAAATATATATATATATATATAT